GGAGTGAGCAATCATTCTCATGCATCAAATGTCAATTGCGCGTGGATCATACATAGTACAAAGGAAGTCCAACCCGTACGCAGGCATATACACAGATCACAACCTGCCTGATTGGAAAGGCAGTCCCCACAGGCTTAAGGCAAGATCCCACAGTCGATCACTACCACATATACAAAGACATAGTCATCCCAGACGTGGGCGGGATCACATACATTTCTCCACACATCAGCAGGGCACTCCTTGTTCCTACAATCAACAAATTGAATCTTCCCTGTAAACAAACGAAGAGATGGGGGAGATAACGATAGCTCAAACATCAATCAAAGAAAAGAAAATTCGAGAGTGTCGCGAGCAAGGATGGTTGAGAACCAGAAAGCAAAGTAAACCAGAAGAATAAAAAGCTATGCAGAAGCTACAAAGAGATAATTCCCACTTCAGCACACCGCCTTCCCTCTCGCTCTCTCGCACTCAAAGTTCCCACGATGCGGGCAGTCCGTCGCCTCGCGCCTATCAACAACCTGAAGTTGTCACCCTGCTTATTCCGACTATGCAAGCCAGGTTCGCCCGTGTGCCACAGTCCTTCGCAGCCACATGTCAACCCACGCATACCCAGCACCAGCTCGTCGGATCGCCCAGCCTCCTACTCACCTTTCTGTCTCCGCTCGTTAGTCGATCCTCTCGACTGCACTAACTCCCAAGTGTAGATTAGACAGCGAATTAGTAGCGCTTGCGAGCTTTATAGCAGTCGGTAGGTGCGCGAGGTAATTCCGAATTATGCTGAAGCGAGAAGTTGAAGGGAGGAGGGAGTGCCTACGGGTGCATGATGGGGCCGCGGCGTGGGGGACATAGCCGTTCTCCACGCACCGATCTAGTCATGCACCAGCGGGCCAATGAGATAGACGGGAAAGAGGTGCAGAGAAACTTCGTGTGGCAAAGAAAAAGAGAAGAGATCAAGAAGTGAGAGGATTACAGTTACACCTGCGCTTGCCAAGGAGGAGCAAGACGAGATTACAGTTACAATTAGAATTTAGGCGCGGCGGGGGCAGAGCGCAGAACAGGACGCAGCAATGCGCACGTAAGTAGGGAGCCTTGTGTAGTTGCAGCTGAAAATTACGACGCTCCCAAATTCCTAGTCTAATTAAAATCCTAATTGCAAAAAGAAATTCTGAGAACCCGTGCGGGTTCAAAATTCAAAAAAAAGGAAGTTAAAAAAGATTCCCCGTGCGGTGATCGCGCCAAAAATTCCCTCCCCACAGCAGAACAAGAAAGAAGCTATGGCAACAGTTATTTCCGCACTCGCTAAGCGCGATCAAGTACCAACCGTCGGGGGACCATCCTCTCTCCAAAAGATGGGGTCATTCATGTAATTGGGCGGGCCCTCCCCGATTAACCCCCGAAATACAGTCGCGCAGAAAGTCGCGCGTTTACGGTAAGTAGTTCTTCACACCCTTGGGTGGTGCGCAGGCAGTGTATGTAATAGCTTACCTGCGTCAGCCCAAGGGGGTATGCAAGTGACCGTGCGTTATGCAAACGCCCTCCGGTGTCTCTGCACAAAGGTGTGGAGTTACCTAGTTCGCAGCCCGTCAAGGTTGCGTCCCCCCCCCCTTAGAACATTTCAACGTCACTCAAATTTCAATGTCGGTGGTTGTTCGGGAGGGTGGGCATTTTGAGGTTTGGGCCCTAGCAAGGGGATGGACCGCATAGGACTGCTATTGGCGCGGTCGTTGGGCGGCAGGCAGGCGGCAGGAAGGCGGAACGGCACCCTTGGACCTTGGAAACAGCGCGCAGGCAAAAATTGGTCAAACGTTTGGCGCAGGTCGTCGGAAATTGATGAAACGGCACTTGCGCTTTGCCACCCTCGCACAAACGGCACCCTTGCCGTGTTCGCGCAAACGGCACCCTTGGACCTTGTAAACGGTTGGCGCAGGCGCTGTTGGCTGGTGCGTTGCTCATCCTATCGATGGAAGCCCTCAAGTTCAACAATTTAAAATCCAAAAAAAAAAAAAACTCCAACATTCAAAACACAACATTACCTCGCCCTCTCTCTCTCTCTCTCTCTCTCTCTCTCTCTCTCTCTCTCTCTCTCTCTCTCTCTCTCTCTCTCTCTCT